TACCGGTTGAGGAAATTAAAAAAAAAATATTAAGCTTACAGGGATCATATCGTAGAGAAAAAGCAAAAGTAAAAAAAAGTTATGGAACTGGAAAAGGTAAATATTAAAAATTAATAATTAATAATAATTAGAATGAAAATTTAGAAATTAAGTACCTACGGTACTTATAATATTATTTTTAAAAGGTGCCAACGACATATATCTCTCAAAATGGTTTGGTTTCGACGCCGTGCATTGTTTTTTAGCTGATAGAGATGATCCAATGCCGACTAAAAATTCTGTAAATGTGAGTTTTAATAACTATGTCATTATTATATTTTTATATAACATAATAATAATATATAATTAATTATTTATAACTTAGCTGGAGTGTGTTTAGAGTTTTTATTTTTAGACTTTAGGGGACTAATAAAAATAACGTATTACTCGACAAGAAATACTGTTATTTATAAATACATTGTATAGAAATAAACTACGTATAATTTTCAAATACTTTAATAAATTATTACATAAATTAGAATGAATAATGAAATAGTATTGTAGGTACTCAATTAATCATTAAAGTAAAATTTTAAATATTTTGCCATTGTACACTGCCATTTGTTAGAAAGTAATCAGCAAAATGTTCCCTTATTTCTTGCGCTTGAAGTGGTGGTCTACGAGCGATATTTCTTAAGGGTAGTTGTTGACGCTTATATTTGCATATCGTCAACAAGAAATACAATTATAATAATATAAATAATAATGTCGGTAACAGATAAGGCACGACGTACCTACTATCGCGGTGCCAAAATAAATGCGCGACGTATATTATGTAATACGTATAATTATAATATATTAACATTATAAAATGATAATGAATAACACGCAAACACACGAAATCAATATAGTCACTATTCAGTACGTACAAAACGTCTCAACGGACGCCCAGTTTTTTTTGTCTGTGTAATTTTTATATTATATCAAAGTCGTAAGACAATCATAGTTCCTTTTTTTTACTTATAGTGTGTTCTGCCTAATAGCGATCAAAGAAAAACTGGCGTGTGAGGTATAAACACCACATATCATGATGTATACCTTTATTATTATTTTATTTATATATCTATTGTAAAATAGTGTGCTCTGCAAAATAGCGAGCCGTGTGAATTATWTTATATATGTGATTCATTCAAATATTATTTTAGCGATACATGCCTTGTAAATTAGTGTGCTCTGCATAATAGCGAGCCGTGTTAATTATATTATTTAATATGTATATCTATTTTGTACTGTTGTGAGATTATTATTGTAGTAGGAAGTACACTGGCCAGTCTACGTTCCACACCATATATGTGAGTACCAAAATTATTATTATTTAATTGTAATTAAGAAATTATTTTTACACGAGCATCAG